AGCCTAAAAACAGCTAAGTAAAACACCACCATAGATTCCCTGCTCCTTTGATTCTTCTCCAGAAATTTCCAACCAGACAATCAACCAAAATTTGTGCTAGAATCAACATTTCCACAATTACATTATATCATCACAGCCACAGGAAGCCAGAAATGTGGTCACTAATCAACATTTCATAGAAAACACATAAAAAATCTTTGCTCTAAAAGCTAACGGTATTATAATCTACCTGTGGACCATCCAGCCTTTTAATTTCAGTTACCTTCACAGCAGATGTTTCGCTTAAGATTTCCACTCCTTTTCACAATCAGTTTTACAACAGCTAGGAGAACTATACCAGTTCCTAAAATATCCACAAATGTCACACTCTCACCTCTATCTAGAAATTAGCATCTAGAATCCATAAAGTACATGTTTTCTTTTATGTTGTCTGAACTGAAGGTCTGTGACACTAAACTTATATTTTACAACGTTTCCACACATTACTTTTAGTAGACTTTGGAGAGTAATATGACATAATATTTTTTCTACAGTTTACAATTCATAAACCCTTCTAGAATCCTTTAAAACAAAAAAGGAGGTAAACATACAAACACTAAGAACATCTTATGTTTAGAAAAGCAACACATATAGATAAAATTAGCTTGAGATAAGAAAGAGTACCCAAAACTGAAGGTTTTATACTGTTTTCCTTAAAATATAGTATTATTTCACTAGGGGGAAAAAATACTGATTTGCTGCTGATTTCATGATTTACTGCAATAAAAGACCAATACCTTGAAGCAGTGACTTATTTCTCCCTCCTGTTCTCTTAATTTAAAATCAATAAAGCATGTAATAACATGTGAAATAAAACTATAAACACAAAATATTAAACAGCTAGTAATTTCTTAAATAGCAGCTTTGCCATAATAATAGCCAAACATTAATTGTGCTTTTTAATATAACTTCAATTATGACACAATAATGGTCAAAATACCAACAAAGGACACAGTGTGCATTTCAGAACATTAATCTTCTAGAAAAATTGTTTAAAGAGATCTTTTTTTTCTGTTATACTTTTTTTTTACTACCCAATAATCCCAAGAAGAACAGCCTAAAAGAATTGTTTTTGAATCTCATACAACACAAACAATTTTTCCTAAGAAATCCAAGCTGTTAGTTTATGGGTCACATTTCAACCTGATGTGATTTGAAACAGCTAAGGTACTGAATCCTTAAATACAGGGTATGGAATGGAAACCCAGCTCACAGTTCCTTGATTCTACTGAGGCTTGGAAAGCCTCAATAAGATGTAACTGTAGATAAAGCCAACCAAGGAGCATTACCCTTTATCCCCTCTCATACCACAGCCCAAGTTCCCCTCAAACCCTTACATTTTATATTTCCAGGCATGTGCTCTTTGAACACCAAGCAAAACTTATTTAATTTTAACCAATGAAGGGTTAAAATCCAAAAATTATTAACTACCCAAAACATATTAAATTCATAATTTGAGAGCTCTTTTCTGTCCTCTGTTTCAGTATCCTGACATCTAAAAGTCAAAGAACTCCTCTGTTTAAGACTGAAATTCCCAGGAGGAAGAAGGCTCAGATTCAGCCTAAGGAGCACACAATGGAATCACAGCTGACGATGCACATCTTTTTCTAGATGTCTCCATATGCTTGAGGTTTTTTTTTTCCCCTCCCCTAGCACTAGGCGACTTGCTACTCTCTACCACCAAGATTCTGAGAACATTTTCAAGGATTATTATAGAGAATGGATCATAGAAAAGAGGCGGGGGTGGGGGGGGAATGTTGTCAGAGTGCCCATCAGCAACTAAATTACTAATGATGGGGGTTTTTGAATGTTGTCCAATTTTGAATGGTGTTTATGATACTCCTACTTCTTAAGTCAGTCTAAATGAATGTTTCCTTATCTTCTGTTTTTTCTCTTATCACTAAAATAACATCTCAAAGGTACAGCAAAATGCAGTAATTTAAGTCTACACGAACACTCAAAATTACAAGGGATTGGAAATTCATATTGTGAATCTGAAAATGGCATATTAGAACAGAAAACATTTGTAGGGTTTGGCAAACACTACTCCCTAAAACTATAGTCCCCCTCAATTCTTTAATCCAATATTAATAAAAGCTTGAGAACCCAGTAGAGATGAGATAAACATCATGCCTAAACAAAAATACTCCCAAACTTAGTGAAATTCACGGGATGCTTATTACAAAAATGAAGGATTCATTCTTAATCTAACACTATTCATTCTTTTAACTTCCAAAGAGTCTACAAATTGTAGTTGTGAAAAGGAATCTTGCTGCTGTCAGGGTGCACTAACCTAACCAACAAAGAACAGGAGTGCCTGCACACGCATACATACACACCACAGCTCTTTAGCAACTACTGTCCTTTTAAAAGACCATTCCTGAAGTGCAACCTGTGATCTTTATAAAGAAGCAAGGACCTACCCTCACTCTTCCTAAAAGTCAGGAGTTAAGAAAGTCACTTGACTGAACACACTCAATAAACAGTTAAAACAACAAAGATGTCTCCAAACCTTGTATAAACCAGGAAAGTACCCACGCACTTTACAAGTCAGCAGTGTTTAAGAAGAAAACTAAAATTATTTTTAAGAATCTTTTGTGTGGGAGTAATCTGGCAAACTATATTTTACTCCGACTTTTTTTTCTGTAGACAAATATCCTTTGACTAGCTTTGCTCCTTAAATAACCACGCTTAGCGTTTCAATCCGTGACGCTTTGGTTCCTAACTTCATTGTATTACTAAAAAAAAAAAAAAAAAAAAAAAAGAATGCATACCATAAACCACAACTTTTTTTTTAATACCATGCGGAACCTTCAAGCACACTTTGAGAATTAGCAATCTACTTAAACAAGGAACCAGTGAAGCCATCAGAAACAATGATGCTTTCCGCTCCCAATAATCAGTTGACGTTAAGACTATTCCGAAGCCTTCATTCTAAGGGTCCTCTTTCAAATTTCATTGTTCTCATACTAGTGCAACTGAGTGAAACTGAGAGAGAGGTAAACAGATAACTTCTAAGACCCTTAGCATGTAAACCCGACGCTGAGGTCCAGAACCCTGTTACTACACCATATGCCATGTTAGAAACGGGCCTCGGGGAGTTCCTGCCATATCCCAAAGTGGCTGTAGACTTGGTCGTGTCTAAGACAACGTCTATGGCGGTAAGGAGAAAATACAGTACCTCGTGTACCACTCATGTCACCTCGGGTCACAGCCCGCACAAGAGACACTGCCCCACAGATCAAGGAATGGGTGACCAGGGATAGACACGAGTGGAGAGCTCTTGGCGTCTCCATGACTCCCCCACCCCGCTCGCAACTCCGCTCTAACTGGCCGGGAGAAACCCCGCCCCCTTCTTTCCCCCGATCCCCACGATTGGTTTACCGACACCCGGCAGGTCAGCTCCTCGCCTTCGATTGGCTCGCTGCCCCATCAGTCAGACGCAGCGAGATTCGGGTCGGTGGGAGGGGAAGGCGTTGGAAGGGGTGGAGTGGGAGTGGGATTAGAGGACGCGGTGTCGGAGGAGGGCGTTCAGGCTCGGTCTCAGGTTTACGAAAGTTTACCATACCAGTAACAGCCCCAGAAGGCATTAGGCCCGGAGTGGAAGGGGGCTCCGGTCCCCGATTCCCGCCCCTCGATCCCGCAGGCCCCGGAAACCACTAGGGGAGGGGGGAAAAGGGAGGGGCCATCTAACCAGGGACCGACCCACCCCCGATCTCGGAAGAGGCGCCTCCGGGACTCCCTGGAGGGGAGGGGGGCGGGGAGCTCCAGCCCGCAGCGACGACCCTGGCCCCCTCCCCCCAGCAGCCCTCGGGAGCACGAGAGAGAAGTGTCCCAGGGCCTGGGGCGTGACCGTCGCGAGCCGGCCTGGAGGGCCCCTCCCGCTTCCCGCCTGGGGCCCCGAGGGCCTGTCCCTTCAGGGGCGGGGAGAGGGGGAGAAAAAAGGGGGCGCTGGCGAGCCAACCCGGAACCTCCCGGACCGCCTCCCGCCCCCAGCCCTGGCCCCAGCGCGCCTCCTGCACACATGCCCGCACCCAGAAAGTTAAGTCAGGGGCGAGCCCAGCTCGGCGCCGC